AACTCATTTATTAACAGAAATAACAAGTGTGATTAAATTCACAGCTTGGGCGTGCCCTCCTAGCTCTCGTTGAGCGTTGGCTGTACAGGGTCCTTCCGCGTTGTGTGTGTTTGAATCCCACCGAGGCTACGAATTTTTCACAATTAGGTCATCTGCATCGGAGAAGTACTATCGCTGCATGGTAGCGAATTTCCTTGTTGGCCTGAGCCTGCTGTCTGGCGGTAATAATAACTAACCTGGCTTAAGATGACTCTTATGACACCTTAGCGGGCCATACAGTGACAAACATTACAAATATGGATCCGGTCATCCAAAACGCTGCGTCGTGCGAAACAATAACAACAGGCAAAGTCGATCCTTGTTGCCGTTTATAGGCTATATATGCTCGCGTTAGAGTGTCTTGGATGATTCAGTAACACGGTGAGCCTCGTAGCTCAGTGGTAGAGTGTCGGCTGCGCAAAAAGCCTTCCATTTTATGTGGGTTCTTCTCCCACCGAGGCCGCAGATTTGTTACAATTGGGTCAACTGAGTTCTTCAAATCTGCCAAGCCCACTTTAGTAATTAAGTGAGCCTAGTAGTCATTTTAGTGAATTCCAGATGATTGCTTAGGAAATACTATCTGGGCAGTCAGCCTACTCTATCCATAATGGTGAATTCCATGCGAACAGTAGATTGGCGGGCAGATCGACCCAAGTGTGATTAAATTCGCGGCTGGCGGTGAGCCTCGTAGCTCACTGGTTGAGCTTTGGCCACGCTGTGTGGGTTCGACTCCCACTGAGGCCGCTATTTTTTCATAGTTAAGTCAACTGAATCAAGCAAATCTGCCAAACCCTCCTATTCATTGAAAATACTTTTCGCACTGTGTTTCCCACTGTTACAGAGTTTTGGCTACCCACTTTTCCTTCTGCAGCCTGTGGGACCTTTACTGATATCTCCGCCTCCAGTTTCCTCGAAGTCCAACTAAATTTGGCCTACCGACGGCACTGGGACCCACACGTGTCGCAG